TAACCAGATGGGAAGATAAATAAATGGAAATGTCAAAAATGTGATATTTTTAGAAGTACATTAACTTACTCAGGAAGATCTGGCAAAGGTCCCATTAAATTTATAAACTAGATATAATCAGATACATTATCTCCTTCTCCCTCTAATTTAGGAGAAATAATACATTTTCATTTTTCAGGTAAAGCATACAAAGCTAATAACAAAACCACTGAAAAGGATACATTATTCAATAATAAAAGAATAAATATTTGGATTCTAAGTCCTAATTTCCTTAATATAATTTAGATGCATATATACAGATGCCTTGTTTATAATATATTCATAAAGAGTAGTATAAAGTAGGTGATTCAATTTATATTTATACTAACTGGCAGGCTTGTCAGTGTACAGTATGAGAACAAGCAATAAACTCTAGGCCTTTTTTCCCCATCTCATGTTATCTGAGGATTAACAATAAAAATATCTCTCTAAATAAGATCTTCCCCAGATTACCTGGTTCTCAATTTAAAATAATATTAATTAGTACCATAGACTTGTTTCTCAGTGTAGAAGAATATTAACTAGACCTCAAAAAGTTGTTTTTCTGTATAAAATCTACAAAATGTTGTTGCCAATGTGCTTCTTTGAGCAATGTAAATAGCTATGTTGCTTTCTGGCCAATACCTTTGGAGAAGCCATGTATGCCAGAGCAAGTGCTCCATGCTCAGGGGCTCCCAGTATTTCTCTCTGTGTACTGACCTGAGGCAGTCATTTGAGCTAAGAAGAGCAGATACACCGAGGTAGCATCCAATTGCAGGTGTCCCCACTGGTCATCACCCACTACAGTGGCACAAGTTTTGGTGTTGTACTTGGCATGGAGGCTATCCTTAGTACTCTGACTATATTTGAAGGATTCTACTTTATCCACCTGGAAAAAACAAAAACATTAAAAGAAGGATATGCAGAAAAATCAACCCATATGCCACACTTCTGTAGTACTCTAACATATATCATTGCAATGTAAAGACACATTGTCTTCAGGCAATTTGTGAATATTTAAAATGCACTGTTATCTCTTTTTCCTTACATAATACAACTGCGAAAGTCTGTTATTGTTGTTTTTCAATTTAATCAATTTAATTAGAAAATGATACCAAATAGTTAAAGCCAGTTATTTCCTATTCATTGCCTTTCTTTCACTCTTCAGATGGTTGCTTTGCCACACTGTGTATATAAACTGAGATTCAGAGTGTTTGAGTGACAACAGCTTAGTGAGAAATAACTGAGTGCGAAAAGATGTATTTGTTCCTGAAACTGAGGTAGGAATTTTGAGGGAAATTAGAACAAGAGGATATATTTTGAAGGAGTAATGAAAAGAGCTGGTGATACACACACAGAGTGACCGAGAAAGGGTATGACAGAAAGCTGAAACCAGAGGTCAGAAGGGAAATATTGTGCAAGGGACAACTGACAGACTTAGTTCCTGAAACTTAGATTTGATTATGTATGCCTGTGATGCATGATAGTGAGGAGTAAAAATAGAATCCTAAGCCCTGCCTCACCCCACCGACTGAACGGACCCCCTCTTGGCCAAGGGGACCCCAGAGAAACCTTAAAACTGAGTTCCCAGCCAGGACAGGATGGGAGGTCAGACACATCTCATTATACCCCTTCCCTTGTTAACCACCATTAGGCTTTCTTCCCTAACGGCTAAAACAGAACCAGCCCTTCAGAAAGACTTGCTCCACCCCTGATTTCAATCAACTGCCTAATGGCCTAATGCTGCTCCTCCCTTCATGTAGTTTCTGGCACAACTGACCAGCATTTTTTCCTGATCAGGGGCTACCAACCATGGAGTGGTTCTAAGTAGACTAGAGACTATGCATAGTAAGGGTTTTCATGTCCTCTGCTTTGCCTTTTGACATCAGAGAGCCGAAAACTCCATGCTAATGCCTCTATTTTTTTATACATGCAACCAATGAATGGGCATGAAGCTCAATTGCACACGTGCATGTTTCTCCTTTCATAAATAATCATGATTCCTCTACAGCTTGTTAAATATGTATATTTGTCCACACTGCTCAGCATAAATTCCAGTTCCCATTGTCCATCCCTGGAAGCATGTGTTCCTGGCTTCTGGCCAGGGGCTTGGCTTTCCAGAATGCTGCAATGGCCACCTACAGGCTGCAACCCTTTATGAGAAATGACGCTCTCCTTTCCAAATTATGAATCTCACCATTTTCTTCAGTTGACAAGAAGTAAC